AAAAAAAAAAAAAAAGTCTCTTGACTTATTATATCTGTAACCCCTCTATACATAACCTTTATAATAACTAAAAATGAGAAAAATTTAAAATTGAAAGTTAATGAAAAATACATCAAAATATTAAAAATAAATCACAGAATAGTTCACTGGTAAGTCCAAAAGTAAATATGTAAAGCTTAGAAATGAATACAATGAAAAAGATTACATTACCTACACTCTTTCTGCAAGGCCCTGAGAGACAACAAACACCTTTAGACCAGAAAAAAATACTATTACCCAGTCACATTTTAAAATCTCAAGAGTTCTGCTCTAAAAATTCCCAATATGCACAGTTGAATAATCAAGGATGAGACTTTTGACAGTCTAATTTGCTAATTCCCAACTCTTACATGAAGTCAACATTATAAAAAATTTAACAAGCCAGGCGCCAGTGGCCCATGACTGTAATCCTAGCTACTCAGGGGGCTGATATCTGAGGATCACGGTTCAAAGCCAGCCTGGGCAGGAAACTCCAGGAGACTCTGATCTCCAATTAACCACCAGGAAACTGTAAGTGGTGCTGAGGTTCAAGTAGTAGAGCACTAGCCTTGAGCTGAAGAGCTCAGGGACAGCACCGAGGCCCAGAGTTCGACTCACGACTGATCCAACAAAAAAAAAAAGATTAACAGAAAAAAAGGATAAAAGATCACAGTTAAGTCAATTCAGCCAAAGAAATATAATTCTTTATTTTTATTTTTTTTAATAACTCAACTACTCAGGAGGCTGAGATTTGAGGATTGCAGTTCAAAGTCAGCCTGGGCTGAAAATTTGTAAGATTATTATTTCCAATTAACCACTAAAAAGCCAGAGTAAAAAAGCTAAGGGAGAGCACCCAGATCCTGAGTTCAAGCCCTAGTACCAGCAAACATGAAAATACACACACACACACACACACACACACACACACACGAGACTATGATCAGATCACAATCAGTAGGTAAGAAAAAGAGAATATAGATCGTTCCCAAGAGCAAGACTATTGGTAAAACTGAATAGACTGAGTTCTACCAAAAGAATAGAGATTATGAAAAACATTCCACATCTTCTAAGACTAATAACTGTAATGAACTTGAAGATGAATACTGAGTTCTGAAATAAAATGTTCCACAGGGGCTTTTAATGTTCAAGTATATATTTTCATCATCCTAGATTTCACCTTAATTCCTTTAATGTTTTAATGTTTCACAAGGTTCTGCCAATATATAAAAGGCTATTAACAGAAAAAGAAATTCAGTATGTTAAAATACATACATTTCTGAGGTTTACTACACCAAAATGTTAGTCTACTTAGCATTTACAAACAGCTGAAGTTAAACAGATCATTAAAACCATGTACATCAGGAAATAAAATTGCTAATATTTCTTTGGATCATATCATGTGTCAGATGCAGTCCAGAGCACTTTAAAGAAAACTACACAGGAAATAAGTCAGACCTGTACTTGACAGTTAAAAGCTTAAGCAGAGGCTAAGTGTTGATGGCTCACACCTATAATCTTAGCCATGTAGGAGGCTTAGATAGAACGATCACAGTTCAAATTCAGCCTGGGCAGGAAAGACCATAAGACTCTTACCTCCAATAAACTTCCAAGTTGGAGCTGTGGCTCAAGTAGTAGGATTTGCCCAGACCCTGATTTCAAGACCCAGGACCAGCACTAGCAC